CGGAAATTTTGTTTGCTTGTGTCATACAGGTTGTAGAGGAAATCTTCAATATTCTTTCCATGCAAATTTTCGGCATAATTATGACCATAATTTTCGGAGTAATTATCTTGTGCGTAAAACGGCTCTTAGTCTCGATCGCCACATTAAAGTTCAGGCGCTTCTTGTCGAGATCGGTAGTTGGGGAGCCGACAAACACGACGGTGATGCCAGATTTAGTTACAGCGTTGGAGACCCTACTTTTTAAACAACGCTGATTATCTTTTGTATAGCTTGCTCCTTGCGATACGTCAATGTTTACTGCAGTGTAAGCGCGCAGGGTTTCGTGCCCGAAATTACGACCCTTGTGGATGGTAACACTTTTTTTCAGCGCTAAAAAAGCCGCCGCAGGATCTCCTCCTCCTCTTCCTGTAATGAAAGAGTGCTATTTTTAGTCGCGCATACTTAAAGCGGACGCGAAAGACTTTGTTTGCATCTACAGGTATTCAATAATCACCTGAGATTTAGGATTATGTTATGAAGGAGGAAGCATTATATGGCGTGTCCCAAAATTAACGCAAGTTTAGAATTGAATAAAAAACACAGTTTTAAGTCTTTGAATCGTTATTTTTTTAACCATAAAGTAAAGTGGTAGCAATGATCATACTGATACAGGGTTTGTCCGGAAAGTCATAGGACTGAGTCGATTTAAAAAAAAATGATTGAGCCAATCGTTACAATTCTTTAAAAACTTTCAAAATAGGCTCCTACTGCGTCGATGCAGCGCCCAGCATTGAAGGCGTCACTGTATGATTGATATTGCAAAGTGTCGTTAAGTTAAAATTCGGTTAAATTTTACTCGCCGAGCTATCTCATAAGATAATCAATAATTACGAGGAATGTCACCCCCACTAACAACGGTTATTTGGACATGAATGCTTATCTAAGATTGTGGAGACAGTTTTAGAAGTCTGCACTCTAGGAAATATTGAGGAGGCACAACTTAAAGACCGATACAACATACCCGACTTTCCCCTAATAAATCGTAAGTCTAAGATGAAAGTGAAGCGATTTTTCCTGTATGCAACATTGGACGTGCTTAATTTATACATAGCATTTTGCTTGCATCGGCAGCTACACGCCTCACGCATGCAGTGGATCATGAAAATGACATTAGCAGAATTGTTAATTGTCCAGATTTATGACGTTCCTTATAAAGATATTGTCTGAGAATTGTAGGTAAAAGTAAAAGTAAATGCACTGCGAGCATTGTCGTTATGCGATGTGATCAGACTTTCTTCGTACCGAGATATGTTTAGGTATTCCGTATGGCTCTTCAGGTTGTGTAATGTCATTTAAACTTAAACATATGCTATACGATTTATGTATACAGTATCGTCTGTATGCTATCCATCAGTCAGTCAGTATTGTTGGGAAACTTTGAATTTAAGTTTACTAAAGAGTGAGGTTAAGATTCAGTACTGACGTTCGACCCGCGCGGCCTACTATGTTTCTATATGCAAAACTTAAAAGACATCCCTCGTATCTAGTAATTTAGACTTTTAATACAATCCTAACGGTGAGAAAAGGATAAACAAAAGGATACAAAACAAATGACACCAGGGAGGCTCTAAGCATGAATTAGGGTCTCTTTACAATGACAAGTTTCGTCGCTTTACGAATCGCGCGCCATCATGAGCCGCTATAAAATAAGATTTAACGCGTTGGAAGGCGTACAGCGTACTTGGAAAAATCGACACCACGTTTCAGTCTGCGCAATAAAGTTTTCTATTTCATGAGTATAATCAGAAATAAAAGTGTCTCACCTCCAGTGTTGTTTGTAGGCTAGTAAATACGAGATCTGACCTTTTATGTGGTAAACCGGTATGATTGTTTTCGACTTTTCTCCACGTTTGCATTGCTGAGGTGTGAAACTACCAATCTCCATGGTTTGAACGATTTTTCCTCGTAAAAAAAAATATTATCATAAAAGTGGAGTGGTTTTATTTTGACATTTACTGCGCTGACTTGACCACCTTAAAGAGAACGGGCCTTGTTGGTCCATTAAAAAAGCATAGCAGACCTTCAGAAATTGTGAAACTTAACGGAGTTCGTCAATAATTTGAAACGTACACAGAGTGACCCAGAAGTCGACGTCAAGCTGAAACGGGTGTCGGTCAAAATATAAGAAAAAATCGAAGTTAAATTCAAATTATATCTAAAAATGATGATCAAAGCTAACCGAAAATTTAGCTGAGCTACGGATCCAATAACATATCTAGTAACCCAATCATTTTGAGGAAGATGTCAACCATGCATTACTAGTGAAGGAAGGCAGTTTAAACAGTCACAAATTCAAATTTGTAGAAATGAGATCTAAAAGATCCTGACAGGGTGTAGATTTTTACGATTTTCTTAAAGCCTATCATTTGGAAGGTGCACGACTTAGATTTTTTTATATTTATCTGCAAATTTCGTCGACATTAGCAATAGCTACTACGACCTTGGGGTATTCCACGTAAAATTAAAAAAAAAACTACAAAAAAAACTAAATGAAAAACAACACAGTGCCTGCTACTGAATATATCAAGAACTAAGGAAATCATTAGAGTAATCATTAATGGGTGATGTGATTATATAATCTGCAGAATACCTATTATCTTTAACATACATGATTGTTATATAAACACGACACGCAAACAATATCGTTATCATTCTGATCTAAAAGGCATATTAAGTAATTTTTTGCAAAAAAATTGGTATTGTTACATAAATCTTGGATAATAATTATAAAATCATATGTCTACTAATGCATTCTCCATCCAACGATGCAGCATGCATATGCCTACATATATTAACAATCCGTTTCTGTTATATAAGATTTCTGCTAATTAGATTATATGTATGCGTTGTTTTGCATTTGCAATTCTGATAATATTGGTAAAAGTAGGATTTATTCAAATTAGCGACACCACCATATACTAAGTGACATATAAATCCGAACACCCAGTTTAAATGGTTATATTTTAATAAAATTTTGTATAAGTACTTAATGAAGCATAATAAGTAAATGATAAAAATTTCAAAATGATTGCACTGCTTTAAAGCCCTTTGACCTTTAATAATGTGTGGATGCACCCTGATGTGCTACGCATTCTCCAACGCGCCTAGGCATGCTTCTGATCAGGTGGTCAATGTCCTCCTGTGGTATCTCATTCCAGGCAACCACCAACTCCTCTCGAAGTGCTTCTAGAGTCTGGCGAGGACGTTGCAAATTGAGCAATCTCCTACCCATCATATCCCACACGTGCTCAATTGGGGATAAGTCGGGAGATCTTGGTGGCCATGGTAACAATGTGACATCATTATGTTGAAAGAAGTCTATTGTGACTCTTGCAACATGTGGTCGGGCATTATCTTGTTGGAAAGTTGGATCTGCCAGGGTGTCAAGATAGGGTAAAAGATGGGGGGTTCTAGAACTTCGTGCATATAACGCTGCGCGTTCATGTTACCTCTGATGAAAATTAAAGGTGACCTGGAACCATAAGCTATAGCACCCCAAACCATAACTCCAACAGTGTGATGAACATGTCTTTCAACAAAAAACAGTGGATTCCTCCTTTCACCACGTCGCCTTCTAACCCTGGCACGCCCATCGTGCATGCCTAAACAAAATCGAGATTCGTCACTAAAGACAATACTGTTCCATTCCTGATCCCAGAGTGACCGTTGTCTGCACCACTCAAGGCGATTACGTCGGTGTTCTCGAGTTAAAGGGAGGACCCAGTGTGGCCAAAACTTCTCATTCGTCGGTAAACACTTCGCATGCCAATAGGTCTTCCGTGTTCTGCAAACCATTCATTTGCCATGGACCTGGTAGTGGAGAAACGGTCCCTTAAGGCCAATAATCTTAGGCGGCGATCTGCACGGTCTGTTGTTCTACGGCGGCGTCCAGTGCCCCTTGCTCTTTGCGTACGGCCTTCTCGAAGCCATGCCTGACAACACCTAACCACAGTGTCTTCACTTCTTTGCACTCTAACTGCAATTGCCCGAAAATAAAGTCCAGCTTCCCGAAGTCCCACTATACGGCCCCTATCAAACTCACTAAGTTGACGAAATCGTACAGGTCTCCGTACTCTAGGCATCGTAACCGATCGTAAAGGATGTCAAGAACCAAAATCCGCCAACGTTGATTCTTTACTGCGGCTGAAATATTCATTTTTAGAGCGTTTGTGAATTAAAAAAAAGCAGTATAAAAACCGGAATGTCCAACTGATAAGGCTGAAAATTTTTTCACTTGTTATTTACAGTAACCAACTTTTATTAAAATAAAACCATTTAAACTGGGTGTTCGGATTAATATGTCACTTAGTATAGATTATAAATCGTCGCTACTTGCTTAACATTCAGTGACCATATAGTCGTACATAAACTTAGAAAACCAACGAATGAGATCTAGTTTTCTAGCTCTGCACCACTAGGATGTGAGTCAGGCGCTCTGCTAATATTTGTCGCTTAAGATGGTTTCAAATGATACTTAGCAGAGTCAAAATACTTCTATCGTTCAGGCATGCGCGGCTTCAAGAGGGGAGGCAGGAGGTACCTTAACATTTGCATATTTAGCTTGATTTTGTGTACAAATTTGGAAATTTTGGCCCGCTGAGAAAATTTGCATACCCGCTTTTTGGAGCAGGTACACTTTCACAAAAAAGCTACCTCTAGCGGATGAACAGCCCTGAGAAAAATGTCTGCGTTTAAGAGTAAAGCTTTACTTTCCCGTAAGGTTTTGTTGTTTACCTTGTTAGTCATGATGCTAGACAATTGCTTGGAGCCGCGAAAAATGATTTTCTCTTCTCAAGGCGATCTCGAAAATTTTGAATGCATAATTTGTCATCTAACATATAATTTATTTTAAGTGGTTGATAAGCATTTTTATCACTGATATTCAGAACAATAGGCTAAACCTAGATGTCACCTCATGCTTAAACCATATAATAGGTCATTAACTATTTCTTTTGCTTCAGGCTTACAGCACTTAGGAGGAATATCAAGAGAACCGTCTACGGTGAAACCTCAAGAGGTATGTATAAATATTCTTTAAACAACTATACAAGCGACTAGTGTTACTTTTGTCTGGTGTTTTTTCCATATTCTTTGAACAGTATATCTCGAATTCAAAAATTCTTGATAGTGTGCTGTTGATCGTTTTATACATTATACGAATTTGTATAATCCAAAGAATGGAACCATACAAATTGGTATTCGACTGAAAGAAGAGCAACTAACTTATTTAAAAACAATTAAGATATTTTCACTCAGCTTATTATGCTAGAATAAAAAATGTATTCCTTCACTGGTAAACTAATGCCCTTAATGACGTTGCCGTTGCCATAGCATTTATGTAAAAAATTTACACATTAATTTGTTGTTTGCAAAGGTATTTACCATTGAAATAGAAATGCAAGACTTGTATTCAACATGAAAGCTCATTTGTCTTTTTACTAATAGGTTTTTTACTTCGTCATGTCGTTACCCTACTGACATCTATTGGCAGAAATGTAATTATTTTATCTAGTATTCGTAATACAACAAATCATCATAAATTTAAGTCACTACTAATATATTTTCAACACAAGGTAATACAGAAATTTCTAATGACGCATTCACGACATATTATTATTATATAATAATAATATAATATTTATTTACTCAATGTACAAAGATAACAAACAATATGAGTAAATAAATATAAAATCAAAACAGGCCCAATAGAAGGCATCGCCTGTACATGGACCAATAATTTAAGTTGAAACTGTAGAATGCAAATGACAAAAAAGGACAAAAATTAGCTACAGTAGATTATGTATTTAGTTGATGTTCGTATTTATGAGTTTATGAATTTCAGTCCTAGATATAGAATGTAGCCACTTTTTTAAATTTCTTTTGAAACAATTTCCGAAACGTAAATCTTTTAAGTCTTTAGGTATAATTTCATAAAATTTAGGCGCTAAATAGAGGTATGATCGCTGCATTATAGATTTATGCGGTTGAGGAACTACTGTGCCACGAATTTTGTACCTGGTATAATGATTATATTTAATTTTTTGGTCGGTGTTTACAAATTTATGGTAGTGAGTGATACTGTGTAAGAAATAAAGCTGTCTTATATCATACATTCGAACATCTGCATATAATTTTCCAGTGGGATAAAGTTTCGGTTTTTTAAATATCATTTTTAGAATACTTTTTTGAAAAACATCTAAATTATAGATATGTGAGGAACATGCAGCTCCCCATGCTAATATACCATATGTGAGATGAGGCTCAATCAGTGCATGGTATAATGTTTGAAGATATTTTTCTGTCAATATATTCCCAAGGTATTTAATTTTGTAGGATACAAATCTAACTTTCTTTAAAATATAATTGACATGGATGTCCCATCGTAAGTGAGGATCCAAGACCACTCCAAGGTATTTTATGTTGGGCACTCTATTAATATGCATTTTTTGATCATTAAAATTGAAGGAGAAATTTGTGTAATTTGGCAGATGTCTAGCATAAGATCCAAATGGTAAAAAATGTGTTTTAGAGTAGTTAATGCTTAATTTTCTACTGTTAAACCACCGAATAATTTTGATAAAATCATTTTCAATTACATTTTTCAGATCAGACCAGTCAGTGCCTTCATATAATATTGCAGTATCATCTGCAAAACTAGTTATTTTGCCAACACAATTAATTTGGAAAATATCATTTAAATATATATTGAATAACAGCGGACCTAAGACAGTTCCTTGTGGGACACCACACTTAATATACATTTCTTTACTAAATGATCCTGATATCTGCACAGATTGTGGGCGATTTGACAAATAACTTTCGATCAGTGAGTACGCGTTTCCTCTGAAACCAATTCTCTCCAATGCTTCTAATAATAATTTGTGATTAACTGTGTCGAAAGCTTTCTTTAAATCAACAAAAATGCAGATTGAAGGGATTCTGTTATCAATATTTTGATATATTTGATTTACAATTTTAGTTATTGCGACCGATGTAGCCTTCCGTTCTGTAAATCCATATTGATTTTCACTTAAAATTTTGAATTTTGTGAGGTATCGAATCATTCTAGTAGATAAAACTTTTTCAAAAACCTTTGCTACACTGGATATTATTGATATTGGTCTATAGTTGTTAACATCTGTTTTTGTTCCTGATTTATGTATCGATATTATATTACCTTTTTTTAAAATTGAGGGATATATGCCAGATTCAAAGCATTTGTTGATTAGGTAAGTGAGTGGTTCTGTTATGTCCTCGGCTATAATTTTCAAATGCTCGCTTTTAATACCATCGAACCCAGGACTTTTCCGATTTTTTAAGGACATAACAGTGGTGTATACTTCATATTGTTCGACTTTATCCAAAATAAATGAGTTCAAAGTTCTTTTTGGAGGCTGAGTATTTTGTACATTTGCTTGTATATTACTTGCTAAATTTTCGCCTATGTCAGTAAAGAATTGTACAAATTCATCGCATATCTGTTGAGTATTTTTTAATACTGTTCCCGATGTTGTATTTAACTCAGTGACACACTCTTTAACTTTTGTTTTCCCAGTAATCTCATCAATAGTTGTCCAAAGCCGCTTAGGATCATTTAAGTTATTACTCAATTTATTTAGGTAATGTTTTCGTTTGGTTTGCCTTGCAAGCTCTATAAATTTATTTTTATATTGGTTGTAACAGTCGGTATTCTCTGTAGTTGGCGTTAGTTTCATTACATTATATAGTCTTTCTTTTTCTATTGCCGATGTTATTAATCCATTGGTAATCCAGGCATTTCTGCTTTTCTCTTTGTGACTAATTATTACTTTATTGATACTAATATCTATTAGTTTTTTTATTTTCTCTATGAACAGTCCCGTTGCTTTGTCTATATTATTTATAGAGTATAATTGTTCCCAGGATTCTTGTTTGACATTTGATATTAGTTTTGAATTGTCGACAAAAAATTTGTAATTTTCCTGGTTGTTATTAACGGTAGGAATGTTAGAATGTTTTTCATTTGAAGATATCAGTAAAATAGTGGAGAAGTGGTCAGTAATATCGCTTTCTAGGATTATTGGTTTACAAGTAATTTTGTTGGATAGGTCTTTCACAAAGCAGTGATCTATACATGTGCCCCTGATGGACCTTGTAGGTAGGTTTATATAGGACAGAAATCCGTTACTTGATAGGATATTCAAGTATTCATTTGTGATGGGATCATTGTCCAAAATATTTATATTGACATCTCCCAAGAAAATATGTTGCTTTAAATGAACTTCATTTTGATTTTGAAAAAAAAAATCGATATTCTTCAAAAACTCGTGGGGTTCTGAACATGGCGGACGATAAATTGCAGATACCTCAATTTTGTTATGGTTAATTAATTTAATGACCCTGAAGATGGCGCTTAAGGTAGCCGGAACGTAGTATTTTGATAAATGTTTTAAGTTGACCAAATTCCAAAAATGTATGACTTGAATTCGTCATAAGTAAATCCTTACAATGGTGATACAAACTGACAAAATGTACAAATGACGATTCTCGTGTGCTCTTTTTTGTCTGACTTGAACAAGCTATGATGAACTTGTATTGGAATCTTCCTAAATTCTTTTCAGATCGATTTTTCTCGGCTGCAGATTTTTTTCGGCACGTCTCTGTCTAAAAGGCCGATTCTTGGAATGGAAACTGCAAAGTAGTTCCAAACTTCTTAACGTTTATTAGAATCATTATCGTTTCCCTGCTCCTGCACGAACACCGTTTGTGCAGTTATCTCGGCCTAGTTTTAGTTAAAAAATAATTTTGCTGCGCTTGCAGTTTCCCCTTGATACAGATTAATGAGTCTTGAAATTCCACCATAATAGCCATTTATCTCGAAAATGAGACAACAAAATCTCCTGGAAAGAAGCCAGTCAGAGGCGTTCTAAAGGAATTATTTATCTTGGACATTAGTTATTAACGCAAAGGGAGACGTAACGAGCTATTGAAATCGTTCGTCCAAACAACGAACTTTAAGATAAATTTACACAATGTCAGAACCGAGATATCTTGTTGAATTTGTTGGGACGAGAAAGTGATGGGCATTTCGTGGTAGATGGGATTCCGTATATACTAAGTGACATATTATTATTATTATTATTATATAAATCCGAACACCCAGTTTAAATGGTTTTATTTTAATAAAAGTTGGTGAATGTATTTATCTTACTGTAAATAACAAGTGAAAAAATGTTCAGGCTTATCAGTTGGTCATTCCGGTTTTTATACTGCTTTTTTTTAATTCACTAACGCTCTAAAAATGAATATTTCAGCCGCAGTAAAGATTTAACGTTGGCGGATTTTGGTTCTTGACATCCTTTACGATCGGTTACGATGCCTAGAGTACGGAGACCTGTACGATTTCGTCAACTTAGTGAGTTTGATAGGGGCCGTATAGTGGGACTTCGGGAAGCTGGACTTTCTTTTCGGGCAATTGCAGTTAGAGTGCAAAGAAGTGTAGACACTGTGGTTAGGTGTTGTCAGGCATGGCTTCGAGAAGGCCGTACGCAAAGAGCAAGGGGCACTGAACGCCGCCGTAGAACAACAGACCGTGAAGATCGCCGCCTAAGATTATTGGCCTTAAGGGACCGTTTCTCCACTACCAGGTCCATTGCAAATGAATGGTTTGCAGAACACGGAAGACCTATTGGCATGCGAAGTGTTTACCGACGAATGAGAAGTTTTGGCTTGTTTTCATACCGGCCACACTGGGTCCTCCCTTTAACTCGAGAACACCGACGCAATCGCCTTGAGTGGTGCAGACAACGGTCACTCTGGGATCAGGAATGGAACAGTATTGTCTTTAGTGACGAGTCTCGATTTTGTTTAGGCATGCACGATGGTCGTGCCAGGGTTAGAAGGCGACATGGTGAAAGGAGGAATCCACAGTTTTTTGTTGAAAGACATGTTCATCACACTGTTGGAGTTATGGTTTGGGGTACTATAGCTTATGGTTCCAGGTCACCTTTAATCTTCATCAGAGGTAACATGAACGCGCAGCGTTATATCCACGAAGTTCTAGAACCCTATCTTTTACC